TAACGATGATATCCACTTCTTTTGTTTCATATCATTCAGCTCCAAGAAGTGTTGGTACCTTTGAATCTGATAGATGATAGAGAACAAGAGAAAAGAGAGATGCTAAGTATTGGTAAATAGAAATTGGACTTGAGAGATTCAGATTCTTTTGGATGGAGTTGCATCCAGATTCACAGCTTGGGAGTGATCCTTTCCTTAGCTGTCAGTAGATTTACTCACGACAGCTGTGATGCAGAGGGCTTTTGCACAATTAAGCCTAGAGTGTAAGCTGTGACCCTTCCTAAACCAGTCAGATTTGGCATAGGTTATCTATCCCTTGGTTATTTTTTATTTTTTATCCTGACTACTGAAACACAGTATTTCACACTGAAACACACTGTGTACTGAAACACACACAATGTCCTGTAGTTTCAGTTTAGTATAAAATGTGCTGATCACATTTATACTAAAATCAGTCTGATAACTGATAAAAAATCCAGGAATCTCCTGATGCACATACTGAATGATCTGCACTGGTTGCCAGTCACTTACAAAATACCATTTGTTATTGATCTTTAAAGCTTTACTATCCAAAGGAATGGCTCCCCTGCTACAAAACTGTCTGGCTGTTAAGATATTTAGAAGAGACCCTTTAGAGGATATGACAGGATACTGTCAAAGATCTACTTTTCTGTCATATGGGAGAGTGTCTTTTCCTCTATTGTTCCCAAGTTATGGAAGTGTACCTGCAGTTGACGTCCACTCTCTTAGCAATTAGAGAATTTTAATTATGTTTTCATTTAATTGATTTTCTACATTCTGTCTTGGTTTTAAAATTTGGCTGACTTTTTTTTCTGGGCATAATTTGTGGTATGGTTTTTAATATTTAAATCACTAAGCAGTTTCGGACCTGACTACCTGCAGGATATGAACTTCAGGACATTAATTTCATCTGGAAAAGCCATCTTAAACATGTTCTTATATTCCAAAGACTCAACTCAGACCCTTGGGAGAAAGCATGTTCCCATTTTGTTCTTCTGCTGTGGAGTATGCTGCCTTAGGAGATGGGGTCAGCTCCTGTTCGTTCGTTCGTTTGTTTTCAGGAAAGGAGTGAAGATCTTTTTTTTAGCCAGATCTTTTATGTTTTAAGAAACTAATAGTGATTTTAACTGGCATCATATTTTTAACAGTTCTGTAATAGTTTACTGTTTTGTTACTCTTTTAACAAAATGAAACAAAACCCACAAACAACAACAGTGTCCCCAGATATAGCCAGCAAAAGGGGACCTCGGTATCCCCAGTAAGTTAACGGTTTTAAATTAATTAACTGCACTATCTTTACATATTTTACCCTGCTTATTTAACTTATATGCAGAGTACATCATGAGAAATGCCAGGCTGGAAGAATCACAAGCCAGAATTAAGATTGCAGGGAGAAATATCAACAACCTCAGATATGCAGATGATCCCACCCTAATGGCAAAAAGTGAAGAAGAACTAAAGAGCCTCTTGCTGAGGGTGAAAGAGGAGAGTGCAAAAGCTGGCTTGAAACTCAACATTAAAAAAACTAAGATCATGGCATCTGGACCCATCAGTTCCTGGCAAATAGAAGGGGTAGAAATGGAAGCAGTAAAACTTCATTTATTTGGGCTCCAAGATCACTGCAGACAGAGACTGCAGCCATGAAATTAAAAGACCAAAAGCTGGCTTGAAACTCAACATTAAAAAAACTAAGATCATGGCATCTGGACCCATCAGTTCCTGGCAAATAGAAGGGGTAGAAATGGAAGCAGTAACAAATAAAACTTCATTTATTTGGGCTCCAAGATCACTGCAGACAGAGACTGCAGCCATGAAATTAAAAGACGCTTGCTCCTTGGGAGGAAAGCTATGGCAGACCTAGGCAGCATGTTAAAGAGCAGAAACATCACTTTGCCGACAAAGATCCGCATAATCAAAGCTATGGTTTTTCCAGTAGTAATGTATGGCTGTGAGAGCTGGACCATAAAGAAGGCTGAGTGCCAAAGAATTGATGCTTTTGAACTGTGGTGCTAGGAGATCAAACCAGTCAATCTTAAAGGAAATCAACCCTGACTGCTCATTGGAAGGATTGATAA